CTAAGGAATCAAGCTCAGCCTTCATGGCATTTAACCATGGCTCAGCTTCCTTTGAATCCAAACCCTGGATTTCTTGGAAACTTGAAGGTTCAAATACCTTCTTGGAGCTTTTAACAGCTGTTACTGCTATCGTAGCAAACTCATCAGCAAATCTCTTTGGAGGTTTGCCTTTTGTGGCTCTCTGTGACCTACGAATTATCCTTAAGTCTTCAACACTCTCCTCTTCCTTCTTAGGAGAAAAACGACCTATTGTGAACAATGGTTCCTCCAATTCTTGATCAGAGCTTTCAGAGGGTCGCATAGAGGCTTTCGCACTCTCGAAATCCTCTGAATCACCCGATTCAGTTTCAGATTCAGACTCAGAACCTTCATCAGTGGGTGTGGGTTGTTGTGGTTGCTTTTGACTATCCTCAGTCTCATCACCGTCATCAGGATAACATTGGAAAATTCCCTGATTCTCCCCCACCTTTGCATTGTACTCGACACTTCTCGTGAGCTTAATTGTCTTAGAGTCAGTCATCATTATTCTGTAAGACCCTTTCTGATAACCTAGAAAGATACCATGCAATCCACGCTTGTCTAACTTGGAGTTTTGTGGTGAGCGAACCCACATGTCAGAACCAAAAATCTTCATGTGTTTGATGTATGGCTTCTTGCCAAACATCTTCTCATAGAGGTACAACCAATCGCTGAAGATAACCTGCGATTGTAACTGTAAACAAAACACGAGAGAGATTCGGCCCAATAACTCTCTGGAAGATTGGCATCATGCAGCAAGGTTTTTAACCCTTGAAGCAATGTCTGATTTGCCCGTTCCGCAAGTCCATTCTGCCATGGCGAGCGAGGACTAGACAAATCGTGTTGAATTCCTTTCTCAGTCAGAAAAGCTTCAAACTGCTGAGAAGTGAATTCCCCCGCGATCACTGAAAAGAGTCTTTATCTTCTTACCATGCACATTTTCCAACCAAGCACAGAATTCCTTGAACCTAGGAAAAGCCTCCGATTTCTGCTTGAGATTGTACACAAAAATATATCTAGAAAATGCATCAATGAGAACCATGAAGTATCTATTTCCACCCAAAGAGGGCGCTAGTGGTCCAACCAAATCAGCATGAACAACCTGGTATGGTTCTGTAGCTTTCCTACTAGACACCTTACCTTTCGCAGCCATTTTCACCTTGTTTGCTGCGCATGCTTTGCACTTCATGTGGTACCTGCAGGGTTTAATAGTCATACCTTCAACCAAGGCAGGCATTTTAGATACTGCCTCAAAATGCAAATGACCAAATTTTCGATGAAAATCGTGAATACATTCTGCATGCAAACTTTTGTTAGAACCTGCAATGCAACAAGTGTCATCCTGCACCACATCATCATAATACAAAACAAACAAACGATCAACATATTCTGCATGCAATACATAATCATTTTTCTTTGTGATGATGCACTTCTTGTTCTTGAAGGAAACGTCAATGTTCCGCTCATTCAGCTGTCCAACGCTGAGCAGATTATGTTTGGCGTCTGGCACGTAAAGCACATTCTGTATCGATAAGTCCAAACTGTGAAGAACAACAGTTCCGTAGCCTTTACTGGGAATAGTGTGGTCATCCGCCTGGTGAATCGCACCTTCCTGCGGTGTAAAAGACACAAACAGTCTCTTATCGTTGCACATGTGGTGGGTGGCCGCTGAATCAACAACGAAGAAAAATCTAGACGTCTTCTGCACCTCTGCAACCTTTGGAGTGAAGCGTAAAACCATAGCCTTGTGCTGCGTTGTCCTAGACACCGGACCTTTGCCTTTGCCTCGGCCTTTTCCGCGCGATGAGCTTTCGCTGCGCTGCTCTGTCTTGGCCCTGGGATGTCTGCATTCCCTCTTCATATGGCCTAGACGTCCACACGAGTAGCATTTCACTGCCTTCAAAGCTTTGGCGCCATCTGGTGGTTCCACTGCACTATGGGATGACGTCTGTGAAGACTCCCCCTTGCCCATGCAGCTAGCACCCCGGCGATCTGCTTCATTTAAAATCACGGCAGTAACAAAGTCCACTGTCAGCTGAGCAGTTGGTTGCACAGCAATCTGGGTTGCAACAGACTCCCAACCTGAACCCAAAGATTGTAGTATCATGAAAGAATACACAGCCTCTGGAAAGTTGAGTCCTCTCTGTTGCAGCTCATGTCTCAGATTTTGCATCTGCATCAGATGTAAACGCACATCTCCACCTTCAGCAAGAGCCATATTATGCAGCTTGTTAAAGTAAAACATAGTGGATCCAGCTTCTGTCCTTAAGTGAGCCTCTCTCAGAGCGTCCCAAATTTCTCTGGCTGAGGTCTTATCACGCAATAGACAGAGCTCTTCTGGGGATACTATCAATGTAAGAGTTCCCCTTGCTTTGGAATCCTTAGCTTTCCATGCATCTGTAACTGGAACTGGGGGGGTTTCTGTAATCACCTCAAACAAACCCTCTTTCCGCAGAATTCCCTCTGCATACAGAACCCAGTCGCTGTAATTTTTCTTGTTGAGCTTAGGAATCCCACAAGCATCCTGAAGGGCCATCATGACTCTGGCATTAGCCTTCAGCGTCATATGCTGCTTTAAATCTTGCTGCGTCACTGCTGCAGCTGCTTTATTACAAAAGCACACTTAAAAGTTACTTCGATTTCCCCAGCATAGTGACTTGTGCCTGGGAGCCTTTTGCCTATTCCCGGCAAAACCGGCTTTAAAAGTTCAAAGTCCAGCCATAAAGCCATTAACTTGAAGCTGGCAGGCTGCCCGGAGCAGTAGCACATACCTCATCAATCACTTCTACGCGCAGAGCAGATTCCTTTCCGATCTGTCCCTCTGCATTCCGATCCTTTGCCGGCACTCCGATTCGACCTCTGGAGCCCATAACCACGTGTTGATTTAAGCAGAGTCTCGTGCCCAGCGGAAGGATGAGGAATACGTGCTCCATACTCCATATTGCTTTATTTACAGTTCAAAGCTGGTATATTACAGAAAGACATCTTGCCTCTGCAGGAGCAGAAAAAGCATCCTCTCTCCTCAACAGCTCGGAGAGAATCACACAGTGAAAAACAGGAAACCAGTGTACGTCACATCCAGTCTCCCTTTCCCGTGAGAAACTCCAACAGTACAGACTGTGGAATGTAAACACCTGTCTCGTGACAAGCAGAGCTGCACAGTGAACGAAAGCAGAAACCAACATCAACATCTCCAAATGCAGCAGGCAGACTTATGACAGCAAAGTAAATACATATTACCATCTACAGAGAAAGCCTTTGTAATTCTGGACTCTAAAATTATCTAACAGCACCACCGAATACATCTTTCATTTTCTTTGATGGGGCTCCTACTTCATGATAGAAGTTTAAATGGGAGCACTTTGTTGTAAGATTGCATTACAGCTAGCTCAAGAGGTTCATAGAATCATGGTCACTGAGGGTCATCTAGTCCAACCCCTGACATGCAGGAATCTCAACTAAAGCATCCATGACAGATGGCCATCCAACCTCTATTTAGAAATCTCCAAGGAAGGAGAGTCCACCACCTTCTGAGGGAGTCTGTTCAACTGTTGAACAGCTCTTACTATCACAAAGTTCTTGATATTCAGTCAGAATCTCCTTTCTTGTAACTTGAATCCATTAGTTCTCCTATCCTCCTGGAGAAAACCAGCTTGCTCCATCTTCCACATGACAGCTCTTTAGGTATTTTAAAATGGCTGCCATATCTCCTCTCAGTCTCTTTTCCAGGCTAAACACACCCAGCTTCTTCACCATCCTATGGCTGCCAGCTGATCCTAATAAACAGAATGCTTATTGGTTCATTGTGAGTTCCCACATTGTGAGTTTACCACTATGCTATTGGCAGAACGTCGTCAAATGCTGGTAATCAAGGGTTGTTGACAAATGATGATGCACAGGCATTCATGAAACAATCAAGAGAAAACAGAAGAGGAGCCAAGTCTTCTATAGCAAATTTATAGCTACAATACTCTTTGGTGCCATTAAAAGGACTCAGATATGAATGTTTGAAGCTTACCTGTTATCTCACATCTTGTAAAGGTTTTCCCCAGAAAGCTGCTAAGGGAGGATTTAAGAGTTAGTGTGTGCCAAAAAATATATTTATCATCAAATACGTCAGAAATATGTAAAATATATAAGAAGGAATGCAAACAAATACTTTTCATTAAAAATATTCATCAAAGAAATAGTTTCTTTCCATACAACACTACCCTCAGATTTTAGAATAGTTTGCTAATAAACTCATGAATACATTATGAACATTTAATTGCATACTTTTAAACTTTTATGGCACTATACTTTTTTATATATAAAATTAAGTCTGCTGGAAGTGTGTTAAGAACATATTCAATTGGTTTTATGTAAACCAATTTCCAAATGAAATAAAATAGCAAAGCGTCCAAAAGAGGTCTGATCATGATGTGATAGGGATCCAGGCTGGTGTAGTGGTTAGAGCAGAGCTTTCCAAACTGTGTGTAGCAACATGTTAGTGTGACAGCTGCAGTGTGTAGGTGTGTCGTGCAAACGCTCCCCGTTCTCTTCCCGCAGCTGGAAAGGGGTTAATTTAACCTCTGGTTTGCTAGTAAAACTGAATTACTGTGTCACGAAATGACGCATGTCTAAAAAGTGTGTCACTAACAGGAAAATTCCCAATAATTATATAGAGACTTGTCCAAAGCTCTGCGTTCTAAACATTTAGTCAAAAGAGTGTATCAGCTGAAATGTTGGGATCTTCCTGAAATTTCTAAATCTTAATCAAGACACTGTCCTTTATTTGAAACTTTTGCTGTCTTGTTCCAGCACCCACTACTGGGTAGGTTGTTGGTATACCTTTTGGAAGAGGGAGGGGAAGGCTAAGATACACCCACCCATTGCCCACCCTTAGAATCATAGAACTGAAGAGCTAGAAGGGACCACAAGGGTCATCTAGTCCAACCCCCTGCAATGGAAGAATATTTTATCATAATAATTTATTATTTATATGTCCAACGTGGGGCTCGAACCCATAACCCTGAGATTAAGGGCCTCATGACCTACCAACTGCACGTGGTCAAAGGGCTAGTTTGGTACCCTGCCCTGGGTTTTAGGTGTTTGGTGGGCTTGGCAAGAATCAGAGAGCTCTTCCCCTGCTGCTTGCCTCAAAGCTGACTCAAATGGGCAAGCTTCCTAATCAATCCTTGCCTTCCCCATTTGAAGACAGAAAGTTGTGTCATCAAGCACTCATTCAGCAGACTTCCTTGCAGCACTGGATACAACCCAGTGTGACTAGCCAGAACCACACATCCGGGGAACATTGCCAGAGACCCAGAGCTCCCCTCAACCCTGCCATGCCCCATCTGTATTTGGGTAAACACAGCACTGATGGTACTGCTTCACCCATCCCATCATGCAAGACGGCTGCCATTGGCTTGGATCCCAACTGGGCTTCTGCAAATGGAAGGGTCCCATCTGCTCATAGGAGGATGAGGGATCCAATGGAGCTAGGTAGCATTTTTCACCAATCTCCCCTTTCCTTTGCAGTCTCCTGAACCATGACTTGCTCTAGAGGGCAACCAGATATTCAAGGGGCAACAGGACTGCAAGAGAATGGGGAAATGGGAGTGGGAGTCCATTATCTGCTGGTGGGAGAATCCCACAAGTGGAACTCCATAACTGGAAAACTCCCAGCAGCAAAACCTTCGTTAGACTCTAAGGTGCATCTATGTTTCAAATTATTTGTCTGCATTTGTTCAGCATGGCTCAACTGTATCAATGGCTCAGCATGGCACAATACTGTAAGCTGTGGAAATGTTGTGGATACTAGGAGAGGATATATTGATTTAATAGTATCCTTCCTCACTCATGCTTGTGAGTCAGCAGCAGAGCACATTCCCCAATACAGTCATACCTCAGGTTACAGACGCTTCAGGTTGTGGGATTTCGGGTTGTGCACCGCGCCGAACCTGGAAATACCGGAATAGGTTACTTCCGGGTTTTGGTGATTGCGCATGTGCAGAAGCACTAAATCACGCTTTGCGCATGTGCAGAAGTGCCAAATCACGACCTGTGTGTGTGCAGATGTGGCACTGCGGGTTACGAATGTGCTTCCCACATGGATCATGTTCGCAACCTGAGCGTCCACTGTATATAGCAGGAAGCTAGTTGGTAGATTCACTTGAATTTCTTTACTTAAGCAATCCAATCTGGCTTTGTCCAGATTGGTTTTTGTTCCTGGTAAGTCCCCTTTTACCCCTCCTAAAAAGAATAAAAACACAACAATCTTATTTTTAAAGTAACAAGAGGTTTACTCACATTCAGTTCTCAGTTGTATCCCTGAAGGCA